CCTTATTTTATATAGACTACAACTGATTGACTGTTACTTATGTATATTAAAATAGTGAAGTAGGTTTCTATTGTTTGGTTGTTTAATATGATGAATCAGAAATACTTAGTTTTTAATTTTGTAAACTATGTATTAAATTTTTTAATTTATGCATTGTACTCTTGTTTGAAAGGGATGTCAAAAATGTAATCTCATCCTTTTTATCATTTCTGCTTTCCCCGACAGTCCCTGTTTTCTGTCAGTGACAACGTGAACAAGGTGGGTTTATTAATTATGATGAGTGAGGCGTGTACAATAAAAAGATTAGCCTCGATAACTCAGCAAGCAACATGATCAGCTCTCTAACTTTGCTAGGCAATAGAAAACTTCGCACCTGGGAAATTCAATTTCCGTACATGTGTCGTTCAGGGAGACAGGATAATAAAATTGTTAAAATGAGTAGTCTGACCAACAAGAAAGGATGAGCTTGTTTATTTGGCTGGATATAAGGTGATCTATACGATAGCCAAAGAGCCATCAGGAGCCAAGAGATGGGATGAACTAACCCTATGATTTTATTATCTTAAAATGTTAGTAAGAAGTTCAACGAACAAATATTTCTTTATTTAGCTAAGTTTCTGATACATTTGGCAAGGAGAAGTTATAGACGTGAGGTCACCAATTTCAGTGAAACTTTTTTTTGGTGATTCTAGATCAAAAAATATTAGATCCATGTTCAATGTGTTCTAGGAGCCGAGAAAAAGAAATATATATTATTTTTTTATATAATTGTTTTCTGATTTTGTATTATTGTTTGCTCTACATGGATTTCTATGTTATTATATATAAATCATTTTTTTTTTGTTGTGTAAAAAAAGAAAAACATATTGCTAATCGTATTAAAGGAAGTCTAATGTATAATGAATTACAAAACCCGATGCTTCCAGTAAAATAGGCCAAGTAAATTTTTGTCATGAAAAACAATTCAGGTTTGTTTTTAGCATCCATTTAAGCTCTTAAATACGAGTTTGTTTTAAAATAAAATAAATAAATTTCTGGACTTAATTTGATGAGAGAATTTTTTAATACTGTTTACTGAAATATTTATAACTCCACAGAATTTTCCCCTAAGTCAACTTTACTACAACTGTTGTAAAGCTAAATTATTGCTCTTTAAGATCATAATAACTTTTAGATATAATGCCATTATAAGGAGTAAATAAAGAAAAACCTTTTTATTTTTATCACAAAGCCTTTTATTTTTTATGTATATTATAACCCTAAATGTATGAAAATTTTCATATGAATAAGTGGAGCCATGTCGAAGGTATCTCAAGTTTTGTGATTTTTGGAGGAAAATGAAGGCTCCAGGTTCGGAGGATATTTTGAATAAAACTGATTTTTTTGTTTTTTTTATTGGTATGAGATTTTGTATTTAAGGGTTTTTCGAGGTGCAAAATACAAATCTCAACTTCAGTTCTCCTTAAAAAAAATGTTGAACCCTCTTTACTCCATAGGTCAGTACTAATTCTTGCAATATTGTATTCATTCTATAGCTCTATGAAATTATAAATGTTTTTCTAAACCGGACAAGTATCAAAAGTAAGATTGAATTTACATAATCTGTTATTTTATCCAGACTTGATCTGAAAATAAGAATAAAGCATGTATTATACCATGATATATAATTTTAGAGGATAAAAAAAGGTGATATTAGTTTTTCGCGCTTCTATAGCTCTTAAATAAAACTTTTCTTTTCAATCGAAAAATGCAGATTATTTACTCAATATTCTGCCTTCTATGAAAAGCTCTAATTAAATCCATTTATTTTTATAGCTTTATTTCATCTTTTTTATTCCAAAAACATATATTTCATGGTATACGTAGAATACATGCTTTATTTTTTGATTCTTAATTTTTTCCCAAAAATGACAAAAGTTGTGATAACTTCGACATGGCTTCACTTATTCATAAGAAAACTTTATACATTTAGGGCTCTACTATACACGGAATGGCATAAACCAGTTGCCTGAAAATAAATTTTGCTTGGAGATAAAAAATAAAAACGTTTAGGGAGTTTTTATTTATTTATTCCTTATAAAGGCGTATAATCTGAAAGTTATTGACATAGTTTTGAAGAACAATAATTTATCTTTCCAATGGTTATAGTAACATTTACTTAGGAGAAATTCCTGAGGAGTTATGAATATTTTAGTAAATGTAATGAAAAAAAAAATCCTCCCAGAAAATTAAGCTCAAAAATTTATATTTTTTTATTTTGAAAAACTTGTATTTAAGAGTTTTAGTAGCCCTAAAAACGAATCTGAATCCTTTTTTCATGACAAAAATTTACTTGACCTACTTTACCGGCAGCGTCTTTGGATTTTTGTAATTTATTGTACATTACAACTTGTTTAACAAAATTAGCAATATTGTTTTCTTATTTTTCATAAGAAAACAAATCGATTGATATATAATAACTTAGAAATCCATGCGGAGCAAAGTTAGGAAACATTAATGTAAAAAAATAATAAAATTGTATAAAATATTTTTTTTCTCGGCTCCTAGGTCATATTGGCAAGAACCCTCAGATATTGGTCAAATATTTTTTGATCTAGTATCACCAAAAAAAGTTTCATTGAAATCGGTGACTCCACATTCGTGACCTCCCCTTTTTAGTATCACCAAAAAAAGTTTCATTGAAATCAGTGACCTCACATCCATAACCTCGGTAAAATGAGTCACCGTCAAAAAAGCATTCATGAATTGCTTTTCTCACATGAACGTTATCAATGTTTGTCATAGAAAAATGACATTAATGAATATTTTCATAAATTCCTTTTTTCTCATTATAGTTCCTACTCTTCAGTTTTGAAAACTTATAGTTTCTTGATTAATCTAATTTTGGAAAAATATTACTAGAGTTTTAGAAAATGTTTTGTTCCTTCAAATACTTTTTTCAGATTATTTTTAGGTGCCAAATAAATTTGTCTCAATTGATTTTTTTTTAAGTTTAGAATAACTGGAGTCTGGCAAAGCCTACTGTGTAAATAGCATTGTTGGATAATGACCATGATTAAATAAATCAAAAAATTATATATTAGAATATTTTGAAGCAGCGTATTTGAAAATTAAGTGGATAACAAAACACAGAGGAGAATGATTAAACTGAAAATTGTTAAATAATTTTTTCGAACATTTATTTTTCATTGTTTTCAAGCTTATTATATCTCTCCCTCCACCATTCACCGTCCAAACCCAGACCCTTCAGATCGGCTTTAACCCAATCTTCCCATCTTTGCTTCAGTTTACCCCTCGGACGTTTACCATTCGGTACAGCAAATATTAACCTTTTAGGAATTCTTTCTTTACTAAGCCCAACAATTTTACAAGCCCATTTGATTCGCCGCAATGTAATCACCTCAATTATATTAACCGGATACAGTTCACTCAATTCGGCGTTGTGTAACCGTCTGAACCCTCCAATTAACTCATCCTTCAGTCCGAATATTCTATGCAATACTTTATTTTCAAAAACCTTAAGACGTTGCTCATCCCTTAATGTAAGCGACTATGTTTTGCATCCATATAAAGAACTTTAGGTAAGATAATGGTTTTATAGTTTCTTTTTAGATAAGCATTACCTACCTAATAGCATGTTCTATTGCCAAATTGAACAGGACAGGCAAAGGGAATCATCCTGTTTTAAATCCGAATGAACCTCAAACTTTTTGGATTATTAATACCGATTCTAACTTTACTCGAGTGTCTCCATCAAGCACATCCTGACTAGATTTACTAATTTTTTTGGAATTCCCTGATCAATTAGAACATTATACAGTTTCTGGTGGTCAATAGAATCGTAAGCCTTTTTGAAATCTATATATAGCTGGTGAACAACACCATTGTATTGTACTCTAATTTTTTCTTCAATATTTGCTGTAAAGAAAATATTTGATCAATAATCAAACGATTCCGTCTTAATCCGCATTGATAGTCTCCGATAATTTCCTCGGCATATTCAACTAGTTAAGATTAAAGTGAATATTTTATAATATACCAGAAAGAGTGAAATTCCTTGATAGTTATTACAATCTGTTCTTCGACCCTTTTTGTCAATCGGAATAAGGACTGATTCTTTTTATTCTTCAGGTAATTTCTCATTCTCCCAAATCTTTTTCACCAACAAACGTATTTTAGAAACTCAAGCTAGCTTCTCCACATGCCATAATTTGTTCACTAGGAATATTATCTGTTCCCACTGCTTAATAAGATTTTAATTTTGCGATAACTACTTCAACTTCCTCTTTACTCGGTTCTTCTATTAACAGTTCAGCACTCTGGTACTCAGAAGGAGGGCACAGTGCTGAACTGTTAATAGAAGAACCGAGTAAAGATGAAGTTAAAATCAATCAAATTTTATAGGAACAAAAAAATACTTGTTAAAATCTAGAAAGTAACTGTGATCATTTATTTCAGGCTTAGTAGGAATATCTTCATCAACTTTTTAAAATGTGATGATAGATAAGTTAAAGATTAGTTATTGTAATTGATGCAATTACCTTTCAAGTAGATCTGTATTGAGAAAATGACATAATAACTAAAATTTGAGAAATTGTTTCTAAGGTTAAATTGATAAAAATTTTGAATAGTGGAAAAATCATTTAAAACTACTTATTTGCATTTTTTTTTAAAAAAAACAACACTACACCTACAGGATTGGCAATATTTTTAATAGATGCATGATCTAATTAAAAAATGTTAGAAGTAAAATATTTCAGCATTTTCTTCTGTTCTATTTTTGAACTTATACTGACACACAGTAAAATCTCAAGATTTGCGATGGTAACTAACTTTTTCGAATTGCATTTTTTAATTATATCATCCGTTAGATCATAAGAAGCATTTAAGCAAGTTTTTTTAACTCACTCCTATATACAGCTAGTCTTCCATACTATTATTTCTTGGTTCAATGTTTAAGTGATGGCATTGTAGTTTTATAATTTTTATTTTCTCCACAGAAAAAAAAAATCGTGTCAACAAAGAAGAATCCCAGCGATTACCATCTTTGGCTGATATAAACAACACAGTTCCTAATGCTCTTGTAAGTTTGTTTTTTTATATTAAATTAATTTTTGTTTATAAATTGATTTTTCGTTTCATCTTTATGAGTTTTTTTACTATTGGAAAATCTAATTAGTTTTCCTGGACTTTAATGGTTAATGTCTGTTCCTAACTGTCAGTACAGTGAATTTAATTAATTTTCTCATGTCATTTGTTAAATGATTTTAAGGTGAAGAGAGAGACTTTCAATGGATTGGACATTATCTTCTTGTACATATTGTTGGTCAAAACTATGCACGTAAAGTCCTTCAGTAGGCTTTTTATCTTTTAAAATAGCTGCATCTTTGAGATTTATCTTTACTCATTTACAACATTAGACGGAATAATAACAATGGCTGTTTCTTATCATCAAGAATGAAACAATCCTCAAATAATGATTGGTTTTTAAATTAAGGGCAGAATAGTTAGCAAACAGTGACTTATATTATATTTAAGAATATTCTAGACAAAATATCTTACAGTTCATCATTTATGGGGGAATATTTTGAATGAATTACAATTCTTAAGAAATGCTTATGCCCCCTAATTGACAGCAGGGTAGATAATCAGCCTTACAATCTTGATAGTATGTTTGTTTGTTTTTTCTAATGGAGAAAAAATTAGTTTCCAATAGAGTATTGTTTTAAAGCCTTAAGTGGTACAACCATCAACCTTAAAGGTATTCCCAGGCACAATGTTTTAAAACTTTTTTTTTTGGTAATTAATTTTAAAAATCTGGTGCGCACAACAAACAACTTTAACTTACCGCTCTGCTTTGAATAGAAATTAATTTCTGGCAATGGCGGGCTATTATAAAATTTTTGAAGTGCAGTTTAAATGGAGCTAATGCTTTAAGCTTACAGATAACAAAAAAATAAGACCATTAAAATTACAAAAAGTCTATTTATATCGACGGTAGGCAATAAAAATCTAGTTACTCCATCTTCAACCACATAATTTCAGTCTCTGAGCCTTTCAGTTGACAGAATGACTAATTCAAATTTCAAAATTTTTGAGTAATGTCATTTTAGTGATATTTCTAGTTAGAAAAGTTATATCTATACAGACAGTGACTAAGTAGATTTCGGGCACAAAATAAAATAAAAATATTTTATTGTTATTTGTGTTCTCTCCAACTGCAGTCCTCAACCAATTTCTTAACAATATTGTCTACAATCAACAATTTCTTCACCACTAAATCGTTTAAAAGTGGAACTGTAATGTTTTTGAATGTTCTATTTTGTTTTAAAGATGTCATAAAAAGTAAAATGTTTTTTTCATTCCATAGTGTGTTTTAAAAATGATAGAATTACTATGGGGGTACCCTAAATTCGCCTGACGGCAGATCAACCGCTATTTTACTAATTATACAACTGTTCATTTAATTGCACTGCCCGTTACTCAAATTGTATAACTGTAATTACATGTATTCAGCGATTCAGATTGTTTAACTTTTTCAATATACTGTAATCAGTAAAAAAAAAAAAAAAAAAAATTAAAGTCTTTATCCCAGCACTTTAATTTGTTGAGATTGAAAAATAAGATATTATACCGTGATTAAAAACTTTTTTATGTAATACAGAGAATCTCAGAATTTTAATTTGTTGAAATTAGAAAATAAAATATGGCAGTCACTAATTTTTTTTTTAATTTTCCTACCTGTACTAGGTAAGGAAAGTATTGCAATCGGGTCAAATTTCTGATATGCGGTTTTTGACGGATCTATACGTTTCAGAGTCCCCTGAGTTCAAAAAACACCTTTTTAGCCATTGGTCTGTCTGCCTGTGCCAAGATTCTCGGGAACTAGTGAACCTATTTTGTAGGGTTTGACTACTGATGCCTTTGACAAATTGGATGCTCCATGCGCAATAGCTGATGCACAATAAATGAAAAACATGCTTTTTTATAGGCTGTAGCGCGAAAACAGTTCTATCGATTTTGATGAAACTTTTCTGTTATGTTCTAATAATTGTCCTTTCAATTTTCGTGTATGGACTAAATTTCCGAGAAAATTCATGAAAAAAAGTTATAAAGAAACAAAAAATGTTTTAGGGCCTAACTCGCTAAGTATATATTCTATAGTAAAATTTATAATAAAACTTTTGAAAGGTAATTAAATTACCAATAAAAAAAAGATCATCGGAATCGAACCAGTATTAGCTATGATACAGCTTATTCTATTTTTTATTTTAATTTATTATTTTCCTAGGTAAAGAAAGTATTGCAATCGGGTCAAATTTCCGATATGCGGTTTTTGTCGGATCTGTACCTTTCAGAGCCCCCTAAGTTCGAAAAACACATTTATCCTTTTTCTGGTTCATATCTTGATGTCAGAAACGGGTGAATGAGAGAAAGAAGATAACTAAGTGAAAGTAAAAAAATCTGTTGCCCGCATCACACAAGCTTCACTATTTCCTCTACTTTTAACAGAAATTATTGTTTGATAAAATTAGGCTATGGCAAACAGTTTTTGATCAGCAATATTAGAGGGTATTAAAGTGTTTACACTGATCTACCTTCAGCCGTTTTACATTGCTTTAGTTTATCGAATAAATCGTACTCAAATCTTTTCTTTGATCAATTTTCAGGAAAACAAATCTAATTCAATTTCCTTTTGTTTCTTGATGGACATATGTACAGGCATAAAAACTTTTCTGAAATAGGTAGGAAAGTTGTGCGAGTGGACATACCAGATTTTTTTAAATGAATTTTCAGGAAAATTAATCTAATTCAATTTTTTTTTGTTTCTTGATGGACAGATGTAAAAATTTAAAAAAAAATTCTGAAATAGGTAAGAAAGTCATGTGAGTGGATACACCAGATTTTTTATATAATATAGAGAAACATATTTTTGTTATAATATAAAAGGTTAATAATTATATTTTCCATGTAACAGTATAGCTAATTAGAATTGACACTAAAAGTCTTGTTGGCCTATGCTGTTATAGCGAGATGCTCAGTTAATCATGTTAAATTTTTATAGTTATGAGATACTTATATATTTTTCTTTACTAGGTTCAGAATTCTAAAGTTAAACAACAGAATGAAACCGAAGAAGCTCTTTCTTGGAGGAGACCTGGATCTTTTAGAAGTCGGTTACAGGATCAAAAGCCTAATATATCTCTTAGTAAGCAACTAATCTGTACTTGACATTATGAATTAACTATCTCACATATATTTTTTCAATAAGCCTCAAAATTGATTTTGTACCAAATATATGGCTCTGTCATGCTCAAATGCCATCGATAGGATATCATTGGACTCATGATATCATGGAGCAATAGCGAATCACCCTCTCTGTTTATGTTTTGTGTTGAAAATAAGTAAAATCCATTTAGTTATTTGACTAGGCTTCAATGCTGGAACAGTCATTGGACAGCGGATCAAGACTAGTCAAATTGAGTTTTGACGATTTTGACACTGACATCCATACCCAATGAAGTTCCTTCGGGACGTACCAGACCCTGTGTTGAATGAAACCCCTAAAACCTACTGCTTTCAAGATAATGCACACATAGGTTTCAGTTAAATGATATAGGAGGAGGTTGTATGTATTCTTTCCCATTAATAAATTTTAAGATGAGCTGTATATACAGTTTTGATTAGTCTTCTAATATTCTAGAAACTTCTAATATCACTAGCAACTGAAATATTCCTGGAAGTGTGTAGTAAATAAGCACGATAATGTGCATAAATAACATAACATCCCTCAGAAAAATCAATAAATACTACTATTGAATCATAAATAAAAAATCATAAAAATGTTATAAAGAAAAGAACTTTGTGTTCATAATTCAAAAAGTTGTACAATTTAGAATTAATTATACCCTCGATAATTTCAAAGGTTTCTAAAATCTCTCTCTCTCTCTCTCTCTCTCTCTCTATATATATATATGTATATATATATATATATATATATTGTAACGTTTCTCTTTCCCTCCAAAAACCAAACAACGAGTTTCATTTTTCAATATACTATTTATTTTAACACATAACATAAATCTCAGGTTGGGTTCTGACAACTGAACACTCATTCAACATTAAATAACTATAATCTACACTAATTTACTAATTACTAACTACACTTATATATAATTTAAAATATTTTATAAAATAATTTGTCACGGTCTAAACTTTTGGTTCTATCCCTCTGTCACATAAATGGCATTGTTAGCACTCACCCAAATGTTTACGCCTGTCAGTGAAATAATCTCTTCTTACTTACGAATGTTCCGTTTTCTGTACCACTTAATTCTTTTCTGCTATGTTTTTTTCTTCCAACATAAAATAATCTCCACTAGTGGCCTCTAACAACACTCGGACCGGCTAGGACTCCTCTTTCACTTTCTCAGCTTGCTGGCTAGCACCTTCTCACTTGGCAGCTCGTCACCTTCTCTCTTGACAGCTTGTCACATTCTCTCTTGGCGGCTCATAACCTTCCCTCTTGGCGGCCCGTCACATTCTGAGTTACATGAGGCTTGCTTCCCCCACCATCCACACGCACTTCCTCCCCGTAGTTCGTGCTGTTACCACTTTCGCGCCACTATTTAAATGCCATGTAATGTTGACATTACAATATATATATATATAATGCGAATAAAATAAAAAAATATTGAGTTAAAACTAGGAGTCGAAAATATGAGTAACTTTTATTTTTAAAAAGTTTAAGTTAAACTTATACCTTTTTTTTTATAACTTACATGAAGTTTTTATTAAACTTGAACTTTTTCATTTTGATAACTTTTTGATGAAGCTATTTTAAAACATTTATGCAAATAACTTTTTTAATAAAAGTTCACTACAAACAATTATTCTTAAACTTATTCATAAATCGTTTTTGGGAGATAAAAGTAATTGCAGAAATATATTTCTTATAATGATATAAAAAAAGTACTATATTATATTAAAGTATATTTTTTGTGGGAGTTTTTCTTGATGTTGAACAGGCGTTTGATAGAGCCTGGCACCTGGGACTGATGTACAAACTCCGTAAATTCCTACCACCTACATATTTTCTCATTATCTGTTCCTACCTTACTGATAGATGCTTTAAAGTTAATCACCATTTTTCCAGTCTGCTGGTGTTCCTCAAGGTAGTATTCTGGTTCCTATCCTTTACACAGTTTATACAGCTGACATCCCAACCCATCCTGACACTGTCATCACCATGCATGCTGATGACACTTGTATCCTATCTGTTAATTATGATCCATCAACTGCATCCCAAACTCTCCAATCACATATCACAAACCTTGAAGAATGGTATAAAAGCTGGAGAATTAAAATAAATCCCATCAAAATGCCTGATGAACTTTAATCACCTTTTCCTCATCATTGAAACAAGTTCTCAATGTGTTCATAAAGTTCACTGTTCTTTTTTAATCGGTATTTTTTCTCCACTCTTCTTGGCCCATATATTATTTTCAGAAACTTTCTTTATGATCTCAGTAATAGTATCGTCAATACTTGAACACCCTCAGTGCTCAAACCACGCCCTAAAGATAACCCACATGTTTGGGTTGAAACGTTGGCATAAATAAAAAATTTAATTTTTTTATAAAAAAGACCGCTCTGAATATTTATCACCCATGGTATAATTATAAGGTATAGTCTTTTAGAATTTATTCACATGTTTTGGTTTATAAATTTAAAAAATGAACCAATGCAAGTGACTGAGAAAGAAACATTAATTTCTCCCTCTCATAATACATTGCATTTACTTATTTTCATATTGTATTACCGTTTGTTCACTGATCAGCATAGTTTGTGAATTATTCGCAAGTACGCATTTACATAATACCGCACGTTACCTGGCAACCTGGATAAAAAATAAACTCAATAAAATAATGAGTTCGCGAACCGATGCCAAGGAAGGCTTTTAACTCTGCCGTAATTCTCTCGTCCTCACCCCCTGACTCGTGAAAACCCTTGTATAGTCTAAAAGGCGAGGAAGGGAGAACCAAACAAAAAAAAAAGTGAGTATTCGTAATAATTAAAATAAGCATTTAGCTAGAAAAGAGACAAACTGATTATGTTATAAATGGAAAAATGCAAATTATAAAGTCATAATACACATGGCTTTGTAATTTGTATTTTTTCATTTATATCATAATTTGTAATAATATTCGTAAAATAAGATTCATAGTAAACTCTTTGGCATAGTTGCTACTGTAAATAAATTGACTTTTATAAATGGTGTATTTAAGTGTTTTTCTTTGAAAAAAAAATTAAATTCAATCAGTTTTGCTAGTTGATAATATATAGTTATATAAATTCAAACACCTCCTAATTCACAGTTTGACAAAAATTAGTTAGGAACTAATTGGATTAGTTTCTTCTGGTCTGATCGAATGGTAACTATAAATATGCTTAATATATCCTTCCAAAAAGTTTTGAGGTTGTACTATGCTATGAATTACAAGAAGGAAGTCATTAGCAATGAAATTAGGAGTTTTTTCTTAATCTCTTGTAAAGTCGTAAGAATTGAATTTGGGATTGTTAGAGTTTTGTTAGAAAATGTATGTATCGACGGTTTATTGCATAAAGTCAATAAGTGACATTTCATAACCTTAAATCAGCAAAATCTTTGATGGATTTTCTCTTTGTGAAATTATACTATTGTGTGTTTTGTTATAATACTGTGTTTTTAACCAATAATTAATGTCTAAAGTCAATAAACATTCTGAAAAGTTCACTACATTCAAAATGTACTTACTGATTTTTCATTATAAACCGACGATCTGTTCTAAATAGAACTTTTATGTGACAATTTTTTTTTTATAATTTATTTAAAGGAAGACTTGGTAATTTTATGTATCAAAGTAGTCTTATTTTTCAGAAATAGGTGAGAAAGAAAGTCCTACTGGAGGCTCTCTTCCTGGAGATTCTGGCTCTACTATGCGGCCACCCAATGCCAAGTCTGAAACTCCTCAAGAAGTTGTTCTCAGGAGGACTCAAAGCTTTGAGGCTGACGAAAAGTAAGTTTTATCTGTATAATGATTGTTTTTTTTTTTATTGCCAAGGTATGCTTTGTGTATTGCTGACTTTGCATAACTGAATAATCTTTGCTATTTTTACAAATGAATATTTTACTTCATTCTTATTTACTTTCCTTATTTATGTATCTAGTTACTATCACATCTTATTCTTATGAAAGTTAAATGTAGTACTTGAAAGAAAATTTAATAGAAATAAGTAGGGATTTATCAAACATTCAACTTAACTAGAATAAAAATTAATAAGCTTAAAAAAAGTAAGAAAAAAACCAAGGATTTTCTAAACATATGATTTTGTAATTTGTATTTACTTAAATATATACATAAATTAACTACGTTTATATCTAAGCATACTCTTGTAGAGAAAATGGAAATCATCCTATAGCTCTCCAGTACTTTGTCTTAGATTCATTAATAACCATTCCAAGTTTCTTTGGTACATCTTCTAGAACCAAGAACAATTCTGTCAAGTTACATTATGATCTAGCAGTAATGTTGAAGTTATCAACATACTCCAAGAGCTGTACCATGCTGTTGAATAGATTAGCTTGATGCTGTATTTCTAACATCCATACTGCTTTCTCTCCCTTGCAAGATTGAAGTGGAGGGAGATAACCTAACCTTCCACTGCAATCAGAGGCTCGTAGAAGTTAGTGCTGATATGTATAATTAGAACTTGACATTGTTGTCCTCACTAGGTGCATAAATTTCATTGGGATGTTCATTTTCTAGAAGAGCCTAGTGGAAAAGCTTCAGCCGAGTGACACCGTCATAGACAGGTTTAAAATAAACAAAGAGACAATTCCATATTCTTGACACTTCTCCAACATCAACCTGAGTGTAAACAGCTGAAACAATGTGGATATCTCTCACCTGATATTTTATCAATCTACCTCTCAGGATGAGAAATGAGTCTCTCAAAGAGAATTTTAGAGAGAACTTGAATGCACAAAAAAGGAGAACTAAATCATTATAGTTGTTACATTTAAGCTGATCTTATCTTTTGTGAAGTGAATAGATAATTTCTATCGTCCACTCTTCAAGCATTTTCTCTTCCTCTCAACTAATCCTTAAGATCAGGTTAGGAACATTCTTCCTCAGTTTGATTTGATCATACCATAACAACTCTGGTTGAATTCTATCCAGTCCAGAGCCTTGTGGTTTTGGTAGGCTGTCTTCTTCTTTCACATCTTCTTTTTGAAGAACTTTTCTGAAGTATCTTGCCCATTGTTTCAAGATGTTTTCTTTCTCCGATGATAGGTTACCGTCTGTATTCTTGTAAATTGTGACTTTTGGTTTGAAAAGTTTTTATCTCTTATTCGTATATTAAAAGAAAAGACGACTATCGTGTGATGTACTATTCCTAGTAAACCTGTCTTTTATAAACTTATGATGTGAAATTCATTCCCTGTTTTTGATTTTATATTTTTATATGATAATATCCCTCGCGCCTTGTATGTTCATATACCACACTATAAATAGATATAATGAGATCCTATCTTTATGTGATAGACATCGATCGGGCTTACTGTGTGAACGGCAAATGCAGTGAGAGCAGTGGCTGCTTGAATCAGAAGAAATCTCATTTAAAAACAACAAATCATGTCTTGGAAATGGGAATCTCTGTCACATCAATGTCTCGCATAATAAAAAGTGATCTTAGGATGGGTGCATTTCAAAGAATGATAGGACAAAGGCTAACCACTTCACTAAAAAAAATTAGACTGGATAGATGCAAAATGCTCCTTAGCCGTTACACCAATGGTCTTCATCAAAAGATTTTGTTTAGCGATAAGAAAATGTTTACAATTGAAGAAAAATGCAATTGCCAAAATAATCGTGTGTACCCACACAGCTGAAGCTCCGAAGCCATTGGAAGAGTGGAAACAGGTCATCACTCTTCCTCAGTGATGTTTTGTTGGGAGTTTGCTTTGATGTCAACCCAAAGCTCCATTTTTTGAAAAAGGAGTTAAAACAGCTGCTAAAAGCTATCAGGACGATATTTTGGAACCTGTTGTCAAGCTTCTAAATGATACTCTGTTTGCTGGAAGTCATTAGGTTTTCCAACAGGATTCCCCTCCACCTCAGAAAGCCAGGTCAACTCAGCAGTGGCTGCAATAGAACATGCCAGTGTCCATCTCTTCCTCGGATTATCGGCTTTGATCTGAACTGGAGAGGATGGCATGTCACAGAGCACTTCCTAACTTAGAAAGACGCAAAAAATCTCTGGTCAGAGAAATTGAGCACTTTCCTCAAGAAATGCTGCATGTTGTTCTGCTATTGATGACTGGCCACAGAGATTAAATGCCTGAGTCAAGGCAAAAGAGGGACATTTTGAGTAATTTCTTTTTTGTTTTACTCTCTGTAGATATACATTTTATTTTCTAATAAAATTATTTAAAAAAATAATTTTTCTGTTTAAATATATTTCCTTGTAACAATATTTATGACTGGGAGCGGGGTAGCTCAGTGGTGGGGCACTAAGCTTCCGGTGCTCAAGGTCCCAGGTTTGAATCCCGGCTCATTGCAGAAAATTTATTTATTCTGTTTCATTGGCTGTGAGGTGACCCTGAGGTAGGGAGACCCTCCTGGGGCATACCCAGCCTCTATAAGGTGGATACACTTAATTAAATAATTGATTAAGGGGAAAAACCTAGCGGTTGAGCGTGATCCTGCCCCGATTCTCTCCCTGCACAACGGTAAGCCTTGAAACAGTACTTTCCCTAAATAGTACTGAACCCCAGACCCTTCATGGGTTGTAGTGGTACAGGAAAGGAAAAGGAAAGTAATATTTATGACTGGACTAGGTGTTTCCAGCCTGCTAGTTGTCTTCAATGGTTTTCAATCATTCTTTTGAGAAATTCTTGTTCTGCCTATTTTATAATTTTTTTTGCCTTTTTCTTGGGGCTGTGCACTTGTCCGGAATAGCTTGATTAGTTTTGGCTAGCCAGAGTAATTTAATTTTTCTTCTTTTCTATACTCGCCTTTTCACATACTTCTGTTAACCACATCTTAGCTTTTCGTTTTACCACTTCCTTAGCTGTTTCTTTTAGTTCTTTCTCTATTTTCTCCCAGGTGCACTCTAAGATTCTCCGAGTCCAAGGGTTTGAATTTTTTCTTCATTTCAAGCTGGAATTATTAGGTTTTTCATTCATGATTTTTCAAATTGCGGACTTCGAATCTGACAGTTTGCTTCCAATCAGATAGTGATTTGAATCAAAGTCTGCTCCATGATGGCTTCTTACATCTTTTATTGCGCACTGATGTTTCTTGTCTACCAGCACGTGGTCAAATTGGTTGTTCACACTCCTTTGGGGCTTACCCTGGTGTACTTGTGGATATCTCTGTGTAGGAACATTGTTCTGCTGATCACTAAACCTATAGCTATTGCTAGAGTGATACTTCTCACTCCATTTTCATTTCTGTTTTCTTTTGAAGGCTTTGGACCTCCGATGGTGGGCCTGAATTGGGGTTCTCTTCCTATCTTGGTTTTGAAGTCAGCTACGACTAATCTTATGTCATTTCTATGAGCTTGGTCCACAATATTTTCTAATGGATCATAGAAATCATCCTTCACCTCAATTTATAAGTGTTTAAGTTTGGCTTGAATGGTTGTAAGAAAGGAAAAGATTGATTAGATATTTAATTTTCATAATTCAAACAAATATTATTTATATTATAAATATATTGAAGGAAGCTAGTCGACTGTTCTACATATCATGGGTGATATTATAAATATAGTCATAATATTAATTTAAATAGTTACAATATTAATTTTTATTCTATAAAATATTGATAATTTATATTTCAATTCCTGCCAGATAATATAATAATTTTTTTCAAAATAATTGCATATTGTGAAACACATATATATTTAAATATTTTAATAATAATGTATTTTGTATAATAATGAAACAGAATTGTCAAAAATTTCAGTCAAGATTTTTTTATTGGGTTGGCAGATAAAAAAGTCTTGACTGAAATTCCTGACGATTCTGTTTCATTATTATACGAAATATATTATTATTAAAATATTTAAATATATATGTATTTCACAATATGCAAAAATGTTGATAAAATTATATTATGTGGCAGGAATTGAAATATAACTTACAATATTTTAACCTACGCTTTTATTACAACTAAAGTATTTGTTATAATGGTAACCCTTAAGCCTAGGCTGTTATTCAAACAAATAGTTATTTGTTTTTTGTTTTTTACACTGTAATGAAGTAAAATATTCTATTTGTTGCTTTGCTATTTTGTGTTGTGGATGTTGTGTTAAAACTTTGATAGGTTTTACCGACGCTATTTGGAGCTGAGAGCAAAGATAAATGCAGGTAACTCTTGCCCTACACTTCATTCAACTCCAGTTCGTTCAGCTTCTTTGAAAGAAAGGTGAGTTTTATCTATAATTTTTTTGTTTTTAAAGTATAATTTTAAAAACGAAAATTGTTTTAAAAAGTTATATCTATTAGAATATTTTAATAATCTGGTTAACAGCATGGTAGTTATGAATCAATTTTGAAAATGGTTATTAAAATTAAATGGATTAATTAAAGACCACTTAGGAAATTTCTGTTGTTTTTTTTACCATACTTATTTTTCTTTTCTTAAGTCTTAAAACCTGCTGTTAGTTTAAATTGTAAAATTATTATCATCTCAGCGCTACAATCTATTGCAGTTCCATGTAGCCGTCATCCAGTTGCACATCCATAGGATGTACTGGGCATCAGCTTCAATCTGTCTATCAATCTATGTCTTTTTTTTTTTTTTGTTTTTTTTTGTTTTTCCCTACCTCGCCTTTTAGGCTATACGGGATTTTCCCGGGCCGGGGGGTGAGGACGGGGAATTTAAAATCCCCTCCGGCACCGGGACGCGAACTCGTACCTTTTATATCATCTCAAATCTCTGTTATCCGGTTGCCAGGCAACTAGCGGTATTGTGCACACGCTTTAGCCTATTCGGCCACCCCGCCCCTATCAATCTATGTCTATCATCTATGTCTCTTCTCCATCCAATCTTCTCGATCCATAGAGAAATTTCATCAGAAGTTTCCTGGAAAACTCTTCTTCACCCGTGCGTTCAACTTGCCCTACCCACCACAATCTGTCTAGTTTGAACAAATAAACTACATTAGGCTCTTATAAATACATCATAAATGTCCTGATTTGTACATCTCCTCAAGGTTCCATCCACAAACACCAATTGAGAGCACTCAATTAAGTCGGCATCATCCATATTAGCCAATAGTTGTTTGACTGAATATTGTCTGTCCAGCCTGTATGCTTGCCTCTCTCACAGCCTTCTCTAGGGCGATATTTAATTAGGGGCGTGCAAGGGCATCACCTTGCAAAGTCCTTTGGTCACTCAGAATTTTCTAAATATATCTTCCATAAGGCAAACTGAACATGATAACCTCATTTATGGTCAACTTTTAAGAGACCTGGTATTCTTTATGATTAGTTCTGTCATAAGCAATCTTGAAGTCGATAAAAAAATGGTTCTTCATTAGCTTATATTTATCTTCTCTCTCCAATATGGTTCTGAGGCGATTGATTTGGAACACTGTTGATTTTTCACACAGATCTTCAAGCTCTTTCTGCCTCTTCTTTCTATAATGGGGTCTCTTCTCAATATTACTTCTTGTGCTCCTGTGTGTCATAGTATGGTAGGCATCATTTTTTCCATGAATTACATCCTCGTATTCATCTTCAAACTATTGGGAATAGCATTCCTTCTAGCTAGTCCCGAAATTAGATCAGCTGTCTCATCCAAGGCTTTGGAGCAGACCTCTCAATCATCTTCCATCCATCCTCATCCACAATTTATTAATTTTTAAGCTTGACTGTACACTGATTCATTAAAACTGGGTTTTGGAGCTTCTGTAAATTGAACCTTTAACCTTGCTACTATTAAGATCTTGGCTGTGAGGTATCCTATTGAAAGGTAGTGGTATATATATTTATATATAAAAGGGAATGGGGTAGCCTTGCGGGATAAGGCGCTTGCAATAGGTAATCAAAGTTAAGCAACGCCAAGTGTGGCTAGCACTTGAATGGGTGACCGTTCACCAAGGAAAGTCATGCTGCCTGAGATTCCTCCCCCTTCCACCCAGTTATATGAGGCCCATCAGCCTACTGGAGGCAACTCATACCGACTGGGCTTAGGATTGATGATACTACCCCGTACTTTAAATCGGGAATTGGAATGTGGTCTAGGAAGGAGACCACACTCGCGGTCAAAGATCTTCATGGTCTGTAGCACCAACAGAAAAAAAAAAAAAAAAAAAAAAAAAAAAAAAAAAAATATATATATATATATATATATATATACACATAAATTCAAAGGGCTTCAAGGAGAAGACTACCCAAGTTTAATTAAAATCGTTACAGTTGTTTAGGTGCTACAGTCTATAGTGACACATATTTTTCACCCGCCTAGCTGAAACGAAAGACCGGAGGGTAATTAAGTGTATATATAAACACTCCTGAATCCGATATATATAATATATATATATATATATATATATAGATTATATATATATATATATTGATTTTTAATAGTTAATAACAGAATACAAGGCTAGTTTGGGGTTGTCAAATTATTTAAACTTTTTCTTGGTTCTGATTATGAAACTTAATTTCATGAAGCAGTTTTGAAAGTAAGTACTATACAGTAAATTTAAGAATGGCATTTTAGTGGTACAGTATTTATTTTAGTTTCTTATATTAATGTTTTATGTGTGCATCATCTTGTTTTATGGATTTAGTCGTAATGCATGTACATAATGTTTAGTATTGATTATAGGTATTGCTTGAAGAATATGAATGATTCATAATGTATTTGTAATTTGATCTATTGATAACAAATAGTAAATTCAATCCAAGAAAACAAAATTGTGCATGTTAAAAAATCTTGAACATGGTTTTTAGTTCTTACTTAAAATAAACTTTGCCTATTCATTTCATCAACGTGAAATCTCGACCAAGGCTAAAAATGATACAATGATACAAATGATACAATTATGAAGATTGTTAGACTATTTCTCTGGGTCTTATGCTATTTTTTAATTTCTATTTAATTTAATTGCTATTTTAATTTAATCGTTTTACAACGGTGGACTCGTGCATGGTCGGGAATGTGGTGGACTCTTTCTCGTTAAACAACGGGATGCTTAGTAATCAATTCCACTTTTAAACTATCCTTGTGACCTCATGAGGCAGTAGTTAATTTTCAGTGGCTAGAGATTATGGAAATTTTTAAATGATGTCTTAAATAAAAACACATAAGTGGTCACTAGAGGTTATTAAAAGTATTCCCTCCTTGCTGCTCATCATCGCTAAATGGTTAAGGAAAATGAGTTTTAAAATATGAAATAACTACTTATATATTTGTATAAAAAATTGATTGCTTTGTTTAGGATAGAAATGTAGAAAATACAGTATAGAATCATTCCGACAATTAAAGTTTTCTTTCTTCTGAAGGGGAATATTCCTCTCCCTTTTCTCCTCTCTCCACCAATGACCAAAGCTGCAATAACTTGGTTACTTAAAAAACTAAATTCAAAAGAATTGGTTGTAATTAATAATTCAGATTTATCTACTTTGACATATTATAAAAAAAAAATGTCAATTGCTTGCTTTTTTAATGTTGCGTGATTATCCACTTTTATACAATCAAATAGTTATCTAATTTTGTGTTTTTCCTTATTTCTATTTCCAGAAGCTTATCGAACCTTTTACATAATTTTTGTCAATCATACATCATACATAATGTTTTCATGATTATAACATGCTAAGAATATTGTTGTTTGTAATGAGTAAAATTTATTTAAAGTAAAATGTTGAATAAAACATTTAAATTTTGGTTAATTTTTTATTAATTTAAACCTTTATTTTTATATAGATGTTTTAAAGATTCAATATTTTCAGGAGAGTGCAAACAAGAGAGGAAAGTTCTCGAATGGGAGTTTCTGTTCCTACTTCAACAACTGTTACATCTGCACCTGTTGTTACGACTGTAAGCACACCTACTACAACCAGTCCCCAAGCAGCTGCACCAGTGAGAAGGTTTGTCCTCTACTAATTTGCTCTGTTATAGTCTTCATTGGTATTTAAAAATCTTCATTTGGTGGTAGTATTAAATTATATTGATGTTCTTAGTTTCATATCTTTATTTTTCTTTCAGCTCTTTCCCACCAGTAAACTAATTGATAAAACATTACTTTCATTAGATCATATTATGACTTAAATCAGCTTTTTTTTTTCCTTCCGTTAATTTCTCTACTTTATTTTATTTTTTAAATCCATTTTTGCTTCTTTGAAAAATATATTAAATTTTAGTTTCATTCCTAGTGTTTCAAATAATTCCAGTGTAACACCTTCAACACCCTCAACACCTGGTGGAAGCAAGTTATCCCCGGCAAATATATTCAAGAACTTCTTCAAGTGCGTAATTCATTCTTGTCTAATTGACAGTTTTCATTGCATGTGTTTTAGCTTTATGATGAACTTATCATCATCAATCAGTTTTTGGTGCTGCTTCTTATATGCTTTATTTTTATTTTCTTTAAATATTTCATTCATTGTCTGTCTGTTCGTTTGTAATTAATATTGCTTCTGTTTTTTGTTTTGAATAGTCTAACTAACCTATTGGAAACTTGAACAGTCACCATTGAATAATTACTTATTCACCATTGGTAGCATTATGTAATCCTTTGCACAAATGTCTGTTATTTGTTTCACTTATATTTTTGTAGTGTCAATATAGTTAATTTGTAAATTATATTGATACATTTATCACAGATTTTTTCGATAATTTATACTACTACTTAAATTGTCTTCTCCATACGTTTTTTTAACGGAGAGCATGGCTTCATTTGTCTAAAGCTTCACGTTTTTATACCTAAAGGTTTTGTGGTTTATAATACTGGTTTAGATTCTCCAATTTAGACTTATTTTTGTAAAAAAAATTTAATAAGATTATTATTATAAAAATCATTTAACTAGTCTTTACTTGGTTTTTGACTGTATACATTTCTTTTTGTTTTTAATCTGCATTTATGATAGTTGTTTCTTTGTTTGAATCACTATAAAATATTGTTGGTAGATTATTATAAATATTACATTATATACTTGTAGTCAAATTAAAGCTCTTATAACCATTTCTTAGAATATCAGTTAATATAAATTTTGATTCCTTTTAGCTCAACATTGTAAATTTTTAGGTAAAAAAAAAAAAATATATATATATAAGATTTCCACTGGCATTTTAATACATTTCAAACATCAAGGAATAAATTTTGTTCTGTTTTTTTAATCAAATGCATGTGACAGGCTTGATGTCTACTGCCATTAATCCAATTTTAATGAAATTTATATTGACTTATTTGTCTGTCTTGTCTATTCCTGTTAGTCTGATTTGTTTTGTTTGTAAATAATTGAAAGCTAAATTTAAATGTTAATATATGTTATTTTCGCTTACCTATATATGAAATATGTAATAAGAGAAAGTATTGAGATCATGAAAAATTTTAAATTCTAGTTTTCAATAGTAGAGGTAATATCAATACTTCAATAGTAAATCCTAGTTTAAAATAGTAGGGGAAGTTGGTTAAGGGTTGCAGTCGTTGAAGTTTAGGAACAATTATTTATTATCTTTCTGCCAACTTTTCATTATTCAGCCTTAAACATTCCTTGGGTTCTGGTGCCAGATAGTGTTTATCATAAGAAAGGCCAGCAAAATTAAGGAACAATTGAATTTTAGTTTTTGAGTATTCTATTGGGGTCAAATTGGATATATGAGATTAGTTCTATGCATGTAAATGGTATTATAAGATTGTCAAATATGAATTAACTCAAAAGTTGATTTACCTTCATAACTCCAAAAAAGGAGTTAATACTTTATTTAATAATTCATGTTTTGTTAAAAATGAGCTAAATATAAGTACAGACTTTCACATTGTCATTATTTCATCAATTGATTGATTTTCCGTTTCTTTTGACCATGGGGTTACTAAAACAACCACTTAGTGAGTTCTTAAACAGTTTTATTTCCAGGATCAACATATGACATGAGTTTCTGTTCTGATGGTGTAATGCCAGCTAATAGTTGACTGGTTTAATGATGATTAAATACTTTTGTTTGGTCTAACTTAGCCACAGTTGAAGTAACCATTTCTATAATTAAAGTACATCCTAAATAGACATTTTCAAATTGTTTTCAGAATCATTACTTAGCAGTTTAGATGTATTTTCTTTTATCATAAAAATTTTCATATTGCTTCTCTTTGCAAAACACCCTAATTTCTAACATCTTATCACCCGACTAAGCAAAACAAAATGAGAGTTGTGTGTTTTGATTGTCTGCTGAAAGCTGTGTAACACTTTTTTGAGTGAATTCCTGGTGGTGTTGAGAGAAATCGTAGAAGGAAACCTCGAAGAAGAGCAGGTAGCATTCAGACAGCACCGCCAGACCCAGGACCACGTATTCTCCCTCAGGACTATCATTGAAAAGGCATTGGAACGAGGGAAGAGCATGTTTCTAGCTTTTCTTGATGTCAAGGCGCCATTTGATTCGGTCCCTAGGCAAGAAATATGGGCAGCTCCAGCCGCAAAAAATGTACCTAATGCTCTAATAGAATCTATAAAATCCACCTATTGCAACACAAAGGGCATAATAACAATAAATGGAACCTTTAACCTTTAACCTTTAGAATTCAAAAACCTTTTGAAATGAAAAAAGGATTAAAACAAGGAGACAGCCTTAGCCCTCTACTGTTCACCATATTCATGGATGAAATTCTAAAAATATGGAGGAGGAGGACACCACAGACAGTTGTTGGGAAGTGGAATATGAGGACAATCCTTGCATAGGCTCTGGTTTTTGCAGATGGCATTGTTCTCATAACAGATTCAAAAGAAAATCTGCAGTAAGCAATCATAGAGTGGGAAGCTGAGCGGAATAGAAAGGGAATGATGATCAATCTAATTAAGAGCAAAGTAATGTGTATAGGACGAAATGAAGAAAATGTGGAGATCCGATGCAGAGGAGAAATCTTAGAGAAGACTGAGGAATATACCTACCTAGGTACAGTCATCAGCAGAAATGGAAAGATTGATGGAGAGGTTTTCAACCGGATCAAAAAAGCAAATAATGTCTAATACCAACTATGCAACACAATTGCTGGAAAGAGAGAAGTGGACAAAAACGTGAAACTGCACATTTTCTAGGCAATATACCTACCTGCTCTTCTCTATGGAAGCAAAAGCTGGGTCCCACTGGACAAGCACTGGAGCCAAGTAACAGCTGCAGAAATGAGATACCTGAGGAGAGTGGCTGGCCGAATCACAAAAGAGATCTGGTCAGAAATCAGCGAATACGAGAGGACCTTGGAGTTTCAGCTGTTAAAGAGGTGGGGAGTGGACGCGGGCTGAAAGCCATGAAGGCACTGGCCAGAGACCGGGATGCGTGGCTGGCATGGACTCTGGCACTTCCACGCTGAAAGGCACAAGGAGGAAGAAGAAGAAGAGAAGTAAAAAGCTTTGTAACGCTTTTTGAGAGAACAGCTGGATCAATTTTTAAGATTGATGGCTCAAATTATTCGGGGATATCTGAGTGTTTTGAGCTAAATACACTTACTGTGTTTTTAAAACTCTTAAAGACACGATTGAATAAAATATTTTTAATCAATTTGCTGAAAGCTGCGTAACAATTTTTGAGTGGATGGGTGGATCAATTTTTAAGTATGATATATTAAATTATTCGATGATATCCCTGTAGTATTTTGAAAGCAAAGTGAAATGGGCGTTATGTGTTTTGGTTGTCTGCTAAAATGTATATAACTATTTTTGAGCAAACGACTGGATCAAAAGTTTGATGATTTAACGAATCTATGAAAAAAACTAAAGCCTCATTATACATGGGAAGAAATCTATTTGCCTGGAGCCTTTATGTGTAGTGAAAAGCATCCGACTATTACACCAAGTTTAAATATTTGTAGATTTAATTTTCCCTGTCAATCTATCAAGATGTTAAAGCAGATTTGAAATTACATTCACTTAGGGTGGACGGAATTTTCCAATTTATGTAGTTGAAGTTTTTTTTTTAAATTCATGTATTTTAATTAATCACCAAAACTATGTATTTTACTTTTAAAATTTATTAAAAATGACACTAGTCTGGAGAACATCTATATTTCTTATGAGAAAATATAATCAAAATCAGAGCTTAAAATATTATCACCTGCAGATTAGTTTCTGTAAATAAAAGTAATGTATTGTTAACCAATATTTATTTATTTTTACTGAACATACTATTAACATCAGATCTTAATTGTTAAAACTGTAGTAGCGGATTAGCTATTCATTCATGTCAGGTGTATAAATAAGAAAGTAGAATTTTCATATAGAAAATACATGTTAAAAAATACTTTATTTGAAATATTGTCCACCTCTTAAAAAAAAGAAAGAAAAAAAGAAGTCCTGTATCACTAGAACCCATGAAGGGTTTTAGGTTCAGTACTTCGTTAGGAAGTACTGTTTCAAGGTCAACAGTTGTGTGGAGAGGTAATCAGGTCAGGATCATGCTCAACCACCAAGTTTTCCCCCTTAATTGATTATTATTTATTCAGTCACAAATGCTAGTGAATTGGGTTTCAGAGATGTTTTCTTGCTGTCTTTCAGTTCATGTAGAACCCATTTCTTCATCTTCTGGATCTTTTTTTTGGCTTAAACAGCTTCTCATGTTATGCTCATTTGATACACTAGCTATTGTTACATTTAATAGGCACTCATTCAACAATGCTTGCGACTCACTGACTTAAAACTTTTCCTGAGTTCTTCCACGTTCTTCATTTCTCACATCAAAATTGCTACTTTTTGAATTTTTTAAACAATTCAACACTATGATTTACCAAGAGCATGTTCTATGTAAGCTTCAACAAGCATTCAATGCAATTCTCCAGCAGTTTTCTTTAAATAGTGTCAAAAAAACTAATGCTATCGACAAATGCTAATACAAATCGTAGTTTGTAGGCACCTAATTCAACATGTTCAACACTATTAAAACCATGCTTTCATACGAACCTTTTATTGCTGTAAGTTGAAAATCTTTGCCAGGTGTGAAAGAAACAAAATGGCACCAATAATGCGGTTTAAGGGTAAATACATTAATAATTTGAGCCTTCTATGGACGAATTATGGTTTCATATTTACACATTTAGTAAAGTGTTTTGTTTTGAAGCTATTTTAGGTATATTGTGTTGATTTAATAATTGTTTTGTTTAATTAACTCCCTATTTTCTTTCCTTATTTTTATTTTTTTTAATCAATATGAAACTTAACAATTTTTTTTCCATTTTTGTATGTTGTAAATAAATTGTCATAATTATATTATTTAAAATAAAAATCAAGCACTTATTAATTAGATGTTTTTTTTTTATATTGAATTTATTTTATTATCAGGCAGTTATAAGTACCCAAAATCCACAGTCATTCTTGCCTTTTGACTTCCTTTGAAAGTATGTCAAATAAATATATAGCCTGCTGAATTATGTTGTACAATTTGATTATATTTTTTATGAACTACTAAGTAATTATTTTTGAGATTAATGAATACTGAAAAGAAAAATCATGATGAACTGTCAAGTATGCCATAATTAATTTCAAGAATAGCTATAATTCAGAAAATTCAGTATAATTTTAAGTTTTGATTTATGTAAATACCTTTGATTTGAACTAAAGCTTTTCATATTTCTTATATGTAGCTAAAATAGCAATTCAAAATTTGCATTTTTTTTTTTACTTCAGATTTAAGTTAAACAACAGTTAATGTGATCCGTTGTTGGTGCAGAAACTTGACTTGCTTCTTCTTGAACTTTTTATAACTTTTTTACCCTTATACGTTTGATCTAAAAGATTATTTAACTATAACTATTCTAAAAAATGTTTAATTCTTATTGTCACATTTTCATGAGTTAAAATCTAATCTCTGAAAAAAGCTTGTTTATCATAGAAGATATTTATTGACAATTTTTTCCTCTTCGTGTGGTTTAATCTTATTCCAGTCTTAGTTTATCAATGCTTATGAAATTGAAATATGTTTTAGGTCATTTGTTCCACCTGTTCGAGATGAAGAGTCAGAAACTCAGAGGAAAGCTCATGCTAAAAGAGTTCGAGAAACAAGGCGTTCCACACAAGGTGTTACATTGGAGGAAATAAAATCAGCTGAACAATTAGTTAAAAAGAAGCAGCAGCAGGTCCTTCAGCAAGCTAGTCAGCAGTTAAGTAATTCTGAAGTAAGTTTTTGGTTTTACTATTTTTTTTGTTTTTTCTATTTATAATAAAAATAAGTTTTATACAATGGACTTTCATTGAAATTATTTTTTGTTTTGCTTCTTAACATCGATTATCAAGAGGAATTAATGGGTAGTTTATTTTTTATAAGCCTTTGATTTAATTAATGGATTAAAAAATAAATCATGGCTTATTCTGGAAAAGTGGAATTTAATTTTCTGAATCGGAGTGTTAAAAATGATTAGTTTCTCTTCAAGTGGTCATATTACCAATTCAAATTTACTTGTATTTTTATCTAATACAGTTGTAAATTTCAATATATATATTTTTTTTAATTTATGAATAAATTGTTTTTATTAAGAATATGGTAGATTTAGTAGTAGACGACTCATTATTCTTGTACTTCATGACGATCTCTGAGTCTTGAAACTGTTTTTCTATTGATGGTGTTCTGAATGTTACAATTTATCAGGACTTTATTTAGGTACAGTTTTAGTCTTAATTTTAATTGCGGGGAGGATTCCTGGCAAAATGTACTCACTAAAACTAAACTGTGTTATAAACATTGATAACCCCAAAAGGCCTTTTAAAAATATATAAGAAATAACAAGGTATTGTGAGAACATTCGTAGGAATATTTATAAAAGTAATAAAATACTGACTTAATGATTTGCCTTCTTTACATACCAAGAGAGTGGGGTAGCTCAGTGGTAAGGCACTAAGCTTCCAATGTCCAAGGTTCCAGATTCGAACCCCGGCTTATGGAAAAAAAATTATTTATTCTGTTTCATTGGCTGTGGGGCGACCTTGGTACAGTGAGATCCTCCTTGGGGCACACCCAGCCTCTACAAAGTCGGTACCTTTAATTAAATAATTGATTAAGGGGGAAAACCTGGCGGTTGATCGTGATCCTTGCCTGATCCCTTCTTGCACATAGAACTTGCACATTGCACGTTGGCCTTGAAAAAGTACTTTCCCGAAATAGTACTGAACCCAAGACCCTTCATGGGTTATAGTGGTACAGGTTTTTTTTCTTTACATACATCATAACTAAGCACAATCCATTAAGGATTAAAATAAAAAATTAAGTAGCTGTATTAAGAAATCAGAGATATAATTTATTTATATATATATATATATATATATATATATATATATATATATATATATATATATATATATAAATTATATCTATGATTTCTTAATACAGCTACTTAATTAAATATATATATATATATATATATATATATATATATATATATATATATATATTTCAACTAGAAATAATTTTATAACCTATTATTATACACAGTTAGGTAATAGCTGGGAAATGGGATCGTTCCACAAGACGGGGGAAGTAACTCTTTCCCTGCCAAACATTCACTTAATTTTGTTAAAAATATAATTCTAAATGCATGTTCTTCTCAATTTTTAATTTGAAACTTTTTTTGGAAATATTTTGATTGAAAACAAGAATTACTTAATCAGTAAATTTATTTTGGATAAAAGTTACTTAACCCTTTGACTGCAGGTTATTCGAGTGTTTCTGCCAGATGGTGGGTCCCGAAATCCAAAATGAGCTTCAGAAAAACGGATTTTTTTTTTCGCATAAATTTATTTAAAATATTATTTTGGGTCACCCTGCAAGATCTTAGCTTTCAAAAATGCATTTTAACCTTTTTATTTAACTTTTAATAAATGGAACATATTCCTTCCCGGTCGCATATGGCAAACAAAAATTAGAGCGGCAATCCCGTAACATTTCGTAACACTCTGACGGCACAGTGGAATTATTTATTTATTTGAATATACAAAATTTTTTCTTAACTTAAAAAGTTCCATATTGAAACATAGCGCAGTTATAAATTTTATTATTGCACTTACATTTATTTTGAGTTTCAAACAATTTTATGATAAAACAACTACATTATCATTTTATTTCTGTATATTTTTACATTTATTTATTACATTATGTATATACACTGACAGGCAAAAAATTTCACCCACTTGATTTTTCCATGTTTTCATCTAAAAATATTTCCGTAAAGTTGTATTTGTATATAATACATGGTATTTGAAGATAATACTTAGTATTTATGGAATTTTATAATCTTTTTTACCTTTAATAATCAAATTGTGATTGGGTAAGAAAGATTAGAGAAAAAAAAATTGAAAAACGAACCATTATTATTCTAAAAGAAATTAATTACATCATCGTTTAGTAGCGCGTGTTTCCTCCTCTTGCCTTCATTACTTCTTGAAGACGCCTCGCCATACTTTCCACCAGTCGGGAAATGTCCCTTTGCTGGAGTATAGCCCATTCCTCCCGAAGAGCACTTTTAAGGTCTTGCAGTGTATCAGGAAGTGTTGCACGCTCTCTTATTCGTCTTCCGAGGTTATCTCATAAATGATCAATGGGGTTCAAATCTAGAGAACGTGCTGGCCAGGCTAAAACCTTAATATTGTTCTGTTGAAGGAATGTCTGCACTATGTGGGCGTGCATTATCGTGCATTAGAATAGAACGATTGCCGATTTCGTTGAGGATAGGCAACACATGAGGTTCCAAAATCTCATCTACATAGCGAATCGCCGCCTAAGACTCTCCACGAACAACAACCAATTCTGTGCGGCGCTCCATTGAAATCCCAGCCCACACCATTAAGGAACCACATTGAAAAGCTTGGCTCTGGGAAAAATTACAGGCTGCATATCTTTCATTTCTTCTTCTCCACCCCCTTTCACGCCCATCTGGAGATCGAAGAGCGAATCTTGACTCATCTATAAAAAGAATAGCACTCCATTCGTCCATAGTCTAATGGCTGTGTTCTCGAGCAAAAGCCAGCTGTGTTACTTTGCGAGTTGTGATCAACTCTGGTCCTCTTACTGGACGTAAAGCCATTAATCCACACTCATGTAATCTTCTCCGAGCTGATGAATCGCTTGAACAACGGTAAGGTGCCAGTTTTGTAAAATTCTCAAAGTCAAAAACCAGTCATCCCGTGGTTCTGTTACCCTAGGCCGTCCAGAACCGGGCCTTCTTGTAAGAACCAATTTCCCAAAAACGCCTGACGGCGTCTCATAAAGTTTCATATGGAACTCCGATGGCATTAGCTGCATGTCTAATGGAACGTTCATCATCAATAAGTGCCACACCACGCGTAGCATCCTCAGCACCAAGAGGCATTTTTAAACTTAATATTGAAAAAATTAAAAGCTTGAGACTAAGAAATGTGCTGCAAGAAACGGCATTGAACTAATTATACTGAATAAACATTTTGATTCCATAGAAAGTAAACATTGGAATCTAGAATCATTTCATTGAATTAAGAATTAAGGGTTATTGTCCTCTATATCAACATTCCTAATTATAAACAAACAAAAATATTATCTATTTATTCATTAAAAACAATATACCAATCCAAAGCAGAAACATTTTTAGATGAAAACATGAAAAAATCAAGTGGGTGGGATTTTTTGCCTGTCAGTGTATATAAAAGTGTAGGAAACTTATTTTATCAGGAACATATTTTTTATACATACATGACATTTTATACATTTATTATTACTTTTTTCCTGTCATAATATTTTAGTTTCATAATCAGATGAGGCAATATCATTTAAAATACTTTAAATTTTCTTCAATTTTACTGTGTAAAAGTGCAAAAATGTTTTTTTCTCACCAACTTAGGTTTTTCTGTTGTTTATTCTCAATTTCTCAAGAAGATTTGAGAAATTGAACAAATTCAAATCAGTGCTTTCACGCACACACACACTAAAAAAATGCCTAAGCTGTTAAAACAAAGCAAATCCAATATTCTGAAAGTGAATGCTAAAATTCAAGCAAAAAAATCATAATAAAGAGAAACTTGAATACGAAACAGATTTGAATATTACGATAATCATATTTAAATAATATTTTATAAGTACTACTTACTTATTTGTGTTTGTTTTTGTTGTTTGCAAATATCAACAACTAAAAATTGTACAAATGGTTTTTAAAATTTTGTGTGATGGAAACATTATTTTAAAATGTACTAATCACAAATTTAAAAAAAATGGTGGCGCATCACATAACTTTCACCTACTGCTCTACTTTGAACAGAATTCTTTGTTTGGAAAAATTGGGCTATTATCAAAAGCTTTTGAAGTTTATTTTCAATTGAGCTAAATCTTCTAGAACACATTTGTGAATTTGATCACATTCATGAATACATTAACTCATCAAGACCATCAAAATAACACAAACTCTATTTATTACATCAAGGATAGGCAATAAAAACATTATAATTCCATCACTCTATTTCAACCGCATAAATCTAGTTTCATATATTTATTGTTGTCCTCCACTTCCTCGCCTTTTTGACTATACGTTGTTTTTCCCGGCCAAAGGAAAGGGTTTGGAAGAAATGCTAGTGTTAAAAGCCTTCCCAGATTTGGAAAGTGAACTCATAATTATTTTGTTGAATGTGAATGTATTTGTATAGTGAATTAACTGAACATTACTGAAAGTTGGAATAGTGAATAAGTCCAATATTTCTAACAAGCTACAAAGAATATTTATTTTTCATTCATAAAATAACATAATTTTGGTAACTCTATGGCACTACATAACTGACTATCACTATTAAATCCAATGCTATAAAAATATACATATTCTAAATCTATGCTATTGAATCTCTAAATAATGAATAATGTTTTTCATTTGTTATTTCTATTTAACAAACCTTAATATATATATTTTACTCATATTTTTTATTCTTTTATCAAGCCATGTATTTAGGTTATTGATTTCGTTAGCCTACAGATGAAGTGGTTGTGAAAGTGCATAATGTAGCTCCGGGTCCCGCGAAACCACTTTCTAGTCCAGAAGATGGTTGTCCAACCTCCCCTGTCGTGAGTGCTACACTCACAAAGGGAAATGTATCTACTACTGATGAAAGAAGGCCATCTTGGCGTTTGAGGGTAGACAATGGGAGCAAGGTCTGTTTTTTCTTTTGTTTTCTGGCAATTTTCCGTGGTTTACCACTCACAAAGTTGATCCATTTATTAACTTACATGGTACATATTAAAGAATTCGTGCTTAATAATCTTTTAATTACTTTAAGGTTACATTTTTTTGTATTAATTGATTGGAATATTAATTAAATTATTTTTATATTTATATAAATCATTTTTATAAATTTTATTTCTGATTTTTCTCTTGACAAGCAATAATTATCATGCCCATATTTTTGAATTATAAAAATGATTAAGCTTAAAAGTTAATCTTTTAGTCAACTTATTTGGCTAATAAAATAAAATTTCTTTACTATTGAATTGATTTTTTTTTTTTAAATTAGTACCTAAGTTTCTAATTAGATGTTCAAAATATATCATTTAGTTATCAAAAAAATTCACATTTTCTCGAGTGGTACCATGTGGGTTATGCTTGTGTTTTTGTTTTGCTACTTTGCATCCTTTTTTTTTTCATTTAATTCAGCACAATATATTTGCTGTACTTGTATATGTACCAGCCATTGTTTGTTTGGTTTTGATGTCATTTTGTTCTATACTTGATTAATTTTATGAATTTGTTTTGATTAATTTTTGAATGAAATACTTCCATTCACCTTAAGTTTTAGGCTATGTTAATGTTGTGATTCATGATGGATTCCTATTATATGAGTCAGTAGACTGTTATTTGATTCCTCTAGTATTATCTGCATGTTTCTTTGTTCTCTTTCACTATTTTAGTCTCTATAATTTCAATGAATGCATTCTATGTAATCCTCTATGTTCCTGTGTGCATGCATCATTAAGATTAAACTATTCTGCATGGGTAATTTGCTGTTATGTTAGATGTATGTTGTTTTATTTATCTTGGTTTTTTAATGACTTTTTTATGTGTTATTGGTGTTATAAAAATCTGTTAAAGATTTTATTTAAACTCTTAGGAATAATTTATTTTATGGTACAAATTTTTTTATTGCATTTATATGCTTCCATAGTTGAAAATTGATTTCATTCTGTACCAAGCATTGGCTCTAGTTGACTGTGTTTCATAATTATTGCAAATATAGTCAGAAACTTTTTTAGATATTATGTAACCATAATATTAATGCCTATGTTCTTTGTTTCTTTTTCTAGTTTTCCAATTGATATTTAATTAGATTAAAATTTTAGTTATTAAGGTATTAATGGATTAAAACTTATGACTATGCTAATATTGCATTATTTCTTTATTTGTAATTTTATTTCTTTCTGGTGAAGATATAATCAAATATTGCTTTTATCTTTAAAATTTTGATTTTATTACTCTTAAGTGGTATATATTAATCATATAATCATCTTTGATTTAAATAATGTCCATTGTAATCGTGATGATTGAGTTTTATCTTCTGCTTTACATTTAAATTACAGTGATATGAAATATATAAGTAGTCATGTATTAAAAATATTGCACTAAGAAAGAAACATTCTAGCTACTATCATGTAGACTATCATAATCATATCTTACTTTTAGGATTTATTTTTTACTTTCCATTTTTCGATTAATGAAGTATTAATTGTTTTTTTTTCCTTTAAAAAATCTTCAGGAAAAATCATAATTTTTAAAATATTATTAGCATAAATAAATTAAATAATGCTAATAATAAGCATTACAATTCAGTTGTTTTTTATTTCCTGACTAATATCTTTAGTGAAACATTTTCACATAAAAAAATCCCAAGCTACTTAGATGAATTTTAAAAAATTTAAATTTGTCTAATTTGATAAACCTATCTAGATATTTTACCAGATTGTAAGTGAATCCCATTAGGATGGTATCAAGGCTTACATAAGTGATTTCACAAATTGGACCCTTTTAAAAATAAAATTAAACTAATTTTGTTGTAATGTTTTTCCTTGAAGAATCAATTAACCGAAAATATTTCCTGAAGCAGTTCTATCAGTACATTACATGCATAAGTGTATGAGGTATTTTTTTTTTTGTTCCAAATTTCTTGAATATTTAAGTTTGTTTGGTCGATAAAATCCGCCAAGATGTTTTGTCAACTTTTATTAAAGAGGCTTCTGGAAAGTTAAGATTAAGATTAGTATAAATAAAGTAAGATTGATGTAAATGATTTCCTTTGCCGCCTATGTGTTTATTTCAACCAAAATTTTAAAGTTTGTTGTCTGTAAGAGGTAAATAAGAAAACTTTTTTTCTGGCTAAATATTTCCTGAATCTTCTCTATCAGTACTACGTTTCCTGGCAAACAAGATAATTTTTCTGTTTTTTTATTTTTTTTATTTTAAGTTTGCCTGGTATAACCCACCAATATACTTTGTCAGATTTTATGCGATTCTCATTTAGGAAGTCTCAAAATTAATACAAAATATTTCTCTAACATGTAGCTCTAATTTTAGTGTAATGTAATTACATAGTCAATTGAAGGAATTTCGTCAACTGTTCTACATATCATGGGTGATAAATAGTTAGGGTGCAGTCATTTTAAGATTTTTATTGTTGTCAACATTTCAACTCAAGCATTTAGATTATCATCAGGGCTGAAAAATGTTTAGTACAATCAAATATAATATTATAAAACAGATAATAGTTAATAATCATTATAATATTATATCTCTGATTGTATTTAAAAATATTCAGGGCTCTGATGATAGAATAGAATAGAAAATAAACTTTATTCTGGGACGAGATCCCCTTAGAATAACAATAATGAACAGTTAAAAAAGAAAAAATACATGATGATGACCCACATGCTTGAGTTGAAATGTCAACAACAATAAAAATCTTAAAATGACTGCATCCTGAATATTTATCACCCACAATCAGATAATTATTTGTTTAATGTTTTGAAAAATCGTGCATGCTAAAGCCGTTGTGAGAAATTTCCTGACAAATATTTTCTTCATAATAAATTATGAGTTCTTCTAAACCTCCTAATCAAATCTTCTGCTGGTTATAAGGTTGAAAAAAATTGCTCTCTCCCGGACTAACTATCATTACAACTCCCTCAATAAATTATCATTAGCCTAACTTTTGTTACATTTTTTTAAACCCAATCTCTATTTTTGTTTTGTACAGTTTATGCTCGAGGATGCTAGAAAAGAAGGCCAAAGCAGTAACAGCACAGCAGATGTTGTTAAGAAGACTGCTGTTGTTACTCCTGTTACCGAAACTGGAGATACGACAGTTACTCTTCCCTTACGGAAACCTAAGTTAGAAGAAAAAGGTAATTAATTCTGTTAAGATTTTATTACTCTTTTATTAAATTATTAATAACTACTATCTACACCACAATAATTTACTTAATATAACAAAATCAGACACTCTAATAAGACACATAACTTTAATGTACTACCTTAATATTTAATCAAAGGGTCAGTTTTTGAAGGGTGTTTGATTAAATATTGTTTAGCCCCAATAATTGATTAATTAATTATCAATCATCTTTTTAAAATGATAAATTTAAAATTGCTGAAAATTTATAATAGTATATTGCATGGCTATTATAAGGATGTAAACTAAAAAACACAATACAAGCTATATTTGAAAAGGTTATTGTTGAAGGAAATCGACTGTTCTACATATCATGGATGATAAATATTCAGGATGCAGTCATTGTAAAGTTTTTATTGGTGCCGTTTCAATCCAAACATGTGGGTCATCATCTGGCATTCATAAATTTGCCAAAAAGATGGAGAAAATGTATACCAAGTGATAGGCAATATTAGAATAAAATCTTTTCTAACATTTCTATGCAATAAATGTTTACTTTTCATAAGAAAATTCAGATATATTGACATACCCGATAGAAGCTTAATAATGTATATATATTTTCAACAGCTAATTATTTCTGAAGGTTGAATTAATGAATTTTAAGTATAATAAAAAGATAAACTAATTTTTATATTACATGAAACAATATGATGGAGTTAATGACTTTTTATTATTTTTTTAATAATTATGTATTACTTATTTTGTCAATAAATATGTTGTCATTAGATCCTGATGAACTACTAAATATGTTTTTATCCTTATTCTTTACTCTAAACAACTTTGTCTAAAACTTTTTTGAAAATGAACCATATAAAAAAAACTTGCATTAGTCGCATTTTTGGGCAAAATATAAATTAAACTCCAATTCAAATTAAAATACAGTGTATCTTTGCTTATATTGGTCACATCTAGGTGTTTTTGCTTTAATTTTTGGAGAATTTCATTCATTACCTATTAAATAAATACCTAATGTCTATGGTTATTTATGTTGTGGTAGAAACTGAAAAGGAAAATGAATCATCACGTAATGCTCAAGCCACCCAAGCTGCAATACAAAGACGAAGAAGGCCAAAGAGGAGGTCTACTGGAGTTGTTCATGTTGATATGGATGTAAGTTATTACTTTGTCATGTTATGATGTAGATTTATTGTTTTGTGTTATAAATTACTCTTACTATTCAAATATTTACTTTAATTGTTATTTCTGATATTTACATTATAATTAGTGGTGTCCTGGTATTAAAATTAATTATATTTATTGCCATTAGGTGTCAAATATTAAAAAAAAATTTTTTCTTCCTTTTCCCTTTCTCGCCTTTTAGGTTATATGGGTTTTTCCCAGGACAGGGGTGATGGTGGGGGATTAATGGCAGAGTTAAAGGAGACGCGCCCAGAGTTCGGATTTGAACTGATAAACTTCGGTTTATTACAGGTTGCTCTGGGCAACGCATGTAAATATTTCGATTGAAATATAGGATCAGCAAGTAAAATATGGTTGCACTTACATATACCTGCGAGAGTAGTGGGTGGAATTCAATAAAATTGAAATAAATTTAAATTTTTGACTAATTTCAAACATTCCATAAACTTTAAGCAAAATCAAATAAATTATCATTTTTTAAATATAGGCATTGATAAGAGAAAGTAATAGATGAAATTTCATAAAATTATTATGGGGTCAACTAGGTTAAAATTCCCACAATCTCTGAAAAATTCATGAAAATTAGATGAACCATAATAGATTACATGCTTGTCACATTGCTTTGACTGCAGACGAAGAGAAAAGTGAACAGCCACAAAAGCCTATTTGTTTCTTGAAATTATGTAAAACATTAATGGAAACTTCTGCCCTCAAAGGAGACTTCTGCTTCATGATGACGTTGCTGGATAGTGGAATGGGATGTGCAGATGTGGAATGGGATGTGCAAATTAGTGATCAGGGATTATGTAATTAGAATCTAGGATATGGTACAGGCATTTAAATATGAGCTTTTACAGGATTTTACTCATGATAGGTAATAGAAAGATAGCACGTGTAAGAGGATGGGTATTCGGGTGACTTTTTAGATATATGTATTATTTTGATAATAAATAGTTTCTAAGGGTGGATAAAATATGTGGATTGGTGTACATTATAATGCATATAAGTAAGGATTAGAACTGCTTTCCAAGGAAGAGCAGTTTTAAGATCTGGGATGTGGATATGAATGAATGTGGATATGAATAGAAGATTAAAGTATTTACATTTTCTCAGTCATTGAGGTCCAGTATGATTTAATCTGGGGTATACATTTTAAAAATAAAGTATATATTGAAGAAAGTTAGTTGACTGCTCTTCATATCATAAGTGATAAATAATCAGGAAGCAGTCATTTTAATATAATTTTTTTATTTCAACCCAAGCATGTGGATCATCATCAACAGTTTTCTTATCATTAAAAAAACCTGTACCACTAAAACCCATGAAGGGTCTTGGGTTCAGTACTATTTAGGGAAAGCACTGTTTCTTCGTCTATGGTTGTACAAGGAGGTGATAGGACAGAGATCACGCTCAACTGTCAGGTTTTCCTCCTTAATTAATTATTTTAATTAAGAGTGCCCACTTTATAGAGGCTGGCTGTATCCCAGGAGGATCTACATACCCAGGGTCGCCTACCGGCAATGAAACAGAATAAATAATTTTTCTGCCATGAGCTGGGATTCGAACCTTTAGCATTGGAAGCTCAGTACCCTACCGTTGAGCTACCCCACTCCCCTCTTATCATTAATATTTTATCAGAGGTGTGGTTTTGGAAAATACAGAGATTTACTATATAAACAAAAAAAAATATTCAAACCTCTAATTTTGATATTAATTTAAAGGAGTTTAATCCCACTATTATGGTTTTAATATTCATGAATAGTATCTATACTCACCTGAAAATGCGTAATGATTACAAATACAGTATTCAAATGGAACTGAATACTGAATTTATGTTCACAATTACATTTTTCACCGAATACTGCACACATCTTCACAGCTGTGTTTACCAGATCATTCAGTAATTACAACGTTTTTAAACTTTGTGGTTTAAATAGAGCTAATTAATCTGAAATAGAACTTGATATTTTTGATAAGTTTCTGATTTTAGTCTGTCATTTGATTGAGTTTATGTTATATAAAGACTTTCTAGTGTTTTTCAATGTCATGTATATATCAAAATCTGTATTTTGTTTGATTATTTGTGAAAAAGATCAGGTCATTAAAACATGCCTTTTATTTTTATTTTTAAAGAATAAATCTTAATTATATTTGATATCTTAACAAGTATATTTAATTATATTTTTAAGGAGATAGATCCAGAAAGACAATCAGATGTCAGTGGAGGATTGAGTAATAGTGGGGAAGATAACACCAATACAAACAATTTAGAAGTAAGGATTTTTTTAATTATTATTATAAGGTGATTTAAGTATGTCTTCAAGACTAATGCAAAAATATTTGGCCTTTAATATGATTTTTCTTTATTTTTTTAAATTTATTAGTTTATTTAAATTTATATCCTCAATAGCTAGCATAACTAAAGTCGACTATACCCTGAGGCAAATGGCCAAAGGACACCCCCACCAGCTTGAGATATTTCTCACTAAAAATACTAATCACTAAATTCTTATTACCAGATATTAATGTCAATCAGGGGTTTCCAAACTTTTTATAACCTGTATCAAAAGCTAGAGTTCTCGATATTAAAGCGAGCCACGGCTGCACTCCTCTTCCTCACCTACACCCTTTCATTTCCACAAGGATAATTTCTTTATAGGGTACCTATGCACTTGTTTTTTAAAAAGTTTCCCTGCTGTAAATTTTGATAATATACCTTTAATATAAAAAATGATTTGTTAATACTATTATTTATACTGTAAATTATATTATATAAACTAGAATGATCAAACATATCTCCTTAAACAAAAAAAAAAAAAGTTTTATATACAGTTCAATGTAAATGGAAACAATCCATTTACATATCAAATAAAAAATAAATATTTATAATTAACATAGGAAAATTTTTTATTTTTATATATTATTCCACATAAGTTGAGTTGTCATAGTTGTATGATAGTATGAGTACAAAGTATAAGCTGCTTCATTAAAAAATTGAAAATAAAATGTTACCATCTGCAAGACTATGTCAAAGGTGCATGTTTTTACAAACGTACATACAAGGGAAGATTAAGTTCGTGGGTTTACAGGTTCCAATGAAACTTTTTTTTTTAGATTACTTGTTTATTGATAAATATTACAATCTGTCTCAATAAAGGGCATTTATAATAGAGTTCAGAGAGCTCATTCACACCATATTTACAAAATCAAAAAATAAATAAGGTAATTTCAAAATAATATACAGTGAAGTAAGAACAAAATAAAAATAAATAAATAAAAAAGAATTAAAGTGTTCTTAAAAAAAAGAAGTAATTAATATAAACATCTTAGATGGAGGCGTACCTAGGTGATACTAGGTCAAAAAATGTTAGACCTATTTGAGAGGGTTCTGGTATGTACAGATGCATGTGCCCTAAGAGCTGAGAAAAAAAGTATTTTCAATTGCAATGAAATTTTCATATAAGGGTTTTTTTAAGGTGTGAAAAACGAATATTAACTTTGTTTATTTATCAAAATGCAATTAATGGGTTTTGGATATACAGGGTGTCCCATAAGTAGAGGGAAATATTTATAGCAGTAATAGCAGCCTTCAAGAGCTACAACTATAGTACAGATATTCCACTTTTAGCAAAACTTCTTCCTCCTTTAACAAGCTTTAAGTCCATATTAATTAAGATGAGGCTTATTAAGGAAAAACTCGAGATTTACTTCAAGTTTTGTAAGAGAAAGGTATGGTTTTGTTTCCTGTCACCTAAAAGTATCTGTATTTTAAGAAAGAATGACTTCAATAAATTGTTGCAAAGCTTTAATTTATTGTTTTTCCATGACCTGGGATGTACTATAATACATATAAATGCATAAATACAGTTTTTATTGCTAAAAAAAAAATTAAAAATAATGATTTTTCGGTTATTCATCATCTGAAGTGGTACTAAAAATGTGTTTTTTACTAATTTTAAGATCTCTATTATAGGAATTGATCCATATTTATAAGTGTCGAAATAAATGTTTCCAGTCTTAAAATCTTAAATCACATCAGAAGTTTACAAAGGGATTGCTCCTTCCTATTCTGCTAAATAAGTTATTTTAAAAAATCATTGAACTTAAATTTCTTTATTTTCTGTGAACACCATAGTCTGAATGAACTTTTTGTTAGCTCTTGAAGGTCTTCTACCATCTCTTTAAATATTTTCCATTTCTTACAGGATACCCCGTAAATGGATAAATACATTAAAACATTACAATACAAATAAACAAAAAATACAAAAAAAAAAAAAATGAAAAAAAAAGTCATCATTTAAAAGTTTTAAATTAAAACCAATTATTTCCTTCATAAAAAATCAGTTATAAAATTACTGAAAAATCTTTAACTGGAAAAGAGATTGCAATGATTCATCTATGTGGACAATTGCACATGAAATATTCTTATCCAACTGTAGATAATTAAACAATCATGAAATTTTAACTAAGCTTGGATGAAAATTCAACTTTTTTTTTTTAAAGTTGTAGTTTAAAGTTAGTTTTATTCGTCTTAGGATCATTAATTTTATATCTAACCCAAATGTTTTAAAAAGTCTTTTATCTTTTTAAAAGCTAAAATTGCTTATTTTATCAAGCTTTAATGTTATTGAAACTCCTGTACATTTGTTGTCGTTTTCTGATTTTTTCAAGTGTCTGTCAATACTCTGTTTTACAAGACCTGCATAAAAACTAATATTTACCATTTTATTTATCACTTTTAAGGTATTAACAGGGGGTCCAATGCCAAAGGAATGATTTCTTTTAAATTTCTCGATTTTAGAATTTATCATATTCTCATATTTCTTCACTGGTGTCTTTGTTACCATTTTTTAAATAGGTTTTTTTTTTTTACTAAAACAGCTTTTTTCTCTCATGCAATAATATTCTTTATCAATTTTTAAATATTTATAGAGTTTCAAAGGACTGTATGGCGTGTATCGTGACAATGTTAAGCATGTGTTACAGAAGTCATGAAGAACAAATTCAGTTAAAAACTATTTCACTGATATGTGACATAGATCATTATTCAGACAATTTTACAGTTAAAATAAAGATAAATAATCCTTAAGTTATTAACTTATTCTTATTCAGAGTGCGAAGAGCCTGGATTTGAACTGATACTCGATAATATTTGAAGATTAATGAATTTTACAATTGAAAATGTCCTGATAAAGTACTTTCTGAATATTTTAAAAATTGCAATTTATAATTTTAATTGAATTATTTAATATAACAAATTTTGTGTTTTTGAGAGACTTGTATTTATTTGTTTGACCTTCTTTAACATTGTCTATTTCTAAATTTAGAGATGAGTATTTTCCAAGAATAACACCAAGCTTTGACAGCAGTTTCTTAGATTTCACCTTCTTTGTTGCTTCTCTGCCAAAAATTATCTTTTTAGTTTATGAAAACTCTATCGCTAAGTATGTTTAGACCTTTATTTCACCAATCTCTTATGGCAATAACATTATGATTTTATGTTAACATCTTTTTTCTTTTATATATCAATAAATTTCATTTGTCTGTTTATGTTTGCTACATATCATTATTAGTTATCAGCTAAAATAATTTGTTAATCTTAAATATTGCAATTATTAATGTTGATATAATTTGTCAGTAATTATACATCTATAAGCTTCCCTGAACAAAGTCTGGTATACAAAAATTTCAATTTTTTGAAAAATTTTACTTTTTTATCATCGACTTGTTAATGTTCATAGATACTTTATATATTCAATACCTAATTTGCCCTATTATGTTCACGCATACAAATAAATGCATAGTCATTTTTCTTATTTGGAAATTTTATTTGCTATACAGAAACTGTTTTCCAATGAAAATTCAACTTCTTGAAGAAAAAAAATTTGATAAATATATTATATTTAATATAAATATAAATAAATTTAATTTTTCTTAAGTTATTTTTTCTTGAGTCTTGTATATGTGGGTTTCTGGAGTTAATTCAAGAGCATTAATATATTTAAAAAAATATGAGATGCATGCTAGAATAATCAATGTATCAACTTATATTTCTTCCTTGTTTCCATGTAATTTTACACATATTTTTATTTATTTATGAAACAAAATTTTTAATTATTTTAGCTTGATGATCCATTTCAATAGCTTTTGTTAGCAGGGGCTGACAATAAAAGTTTAAATCCCTAAACTTTAGTTAATATGCTAAGGAATCTTCCAATGCTTGTTGTGAGGAACCATTTGGCAAATGTCTGGAAAGATTCCTGATAAAAAGCCCTTGACCACAGCCATCCCATTATCCATGTTATGTTGATCTACATATCAAGATGAGGCATTATCGGTTTATTGAAAATAATTATTCAGTACCTAATATGTCATAAAATTAAATAAATATGAATTTTGATGAATTTTCCCTCTGTGAAATCAGAACATTGAGCACTTTGTGTCATTTTGATGCACCTACTGTGTTTTTGTGTTTATAAATTAGGTTATAATTCTCAAAAAGTTAATTAAAAGTTTAACTTCATTCAGAATAGTTTATGGAAATAAAAATAAATTTAAAAGCATTATTTGCATTTCAAATAACTAGGTAACATAAAAATAACTTTTTTGAGCAACCATTTGGAAAATGTATATAGAGAGGAAGGATTCGCCATAAAAAGTCCTTGACCATAGTACAATTGAACACAGTCTGAAGACAACGGAAATGTTCTTACTAAACAAAATCCATGATCTCAATGAAAAATAATCTTTTTTTTTTATTTATAATTTGATTGAAATTTACAACTGTATTACATTAAAAATACAACAGGTAAATGTGACAGAAAAATAATCTAATTTAAGAACTAGCTCTAGCTACTGTTCACTACATCTGCTTTAAAATTTATTATAAGGAAAAATCCTTATAATTTATATAAATAAAGAACCCATGAACATTATATGCATCCATCTTGCACAAAATTTGGTATTTAGATATTCTGTATACATAGAAAAATTAAAATTTTCTTTATAAGCATACATCTTTCATAATATTGTCACAGACCTTACATTGTAAGCAAAGCACACTAAAACTGTTTTAGTTAAATTTCTTGATATGAAGGAGTTTTTTTTTAATTAAAGGAATAATTATTCAATAAACTTAGATTTATGCATGTACAATTATACATTTGTAATTGTATAAATATGTTTGTACAATCAAATTTCTATGTATTAAACACGAAGGTTCCATAAAAAAATTCAATTTATAGAAAAATTATGATTTTTTGTTATCATAAAA